GTAGTGACATTATGGAATACAACAATATCATGTTGGTAATAAATCGAATATGGAGCACAAATGCATATTGATAGAGCATGAATATAGAAGTATCAACCAGACTTATGAAATACAGGTAAGTACAGGGCAATAAAGAAAAAAAGAGCAACTCAAAGTTACCTGAATAAGTCCGCCATCACCACCAACAGAACGACGCAGCTCGGTCGAAACAAAAGCCAGGAGACGAGTGCAGATAAGTAAATGACCAGTCAATAGTAGACTGCGTGAAGCGGCTATATGCGTCAGCATATGAGGCAGGTGTTGAATGTTGCTTGAGAGGGGTGCATTATTGTGTGACAAAGCAGCAGCGGAACCAGGTATGCCAGTAGGAAGATGATGGAGGCGCGTAAAAGGAGAAGACGGGTTCAGAAGATCGTCAGAATGATGTGCAATCTAAAGGTTAAATGATATGTAAAATTACTATTATCATCGCATCGAATGATACACAAGTAAGGGATAAATGCATAATGAAAATAATAAGGCCTCAAGTTTCATATCCGGTAAAATAAGGGGGAATTTACTTGATCGCAAAGTACCTATTATAATGTTAAGATAAATTCGAAACATTTCCTTTAATACAAATATACCTCTATAAAGTACTCAAAATTAATTAATAATGACCTTTTAGAAAATGGTTTATACAATTAGGAATTAAGGTGACAGTATGTTTAGATAAGCCGAATGAATGCTCCTGGCGTCAAATTTGAATTAAAAGTTTTACGCTGCGCTAATGCTTTTATTTATTGCATAAAATAAGTGATGGTATGAAGATCAAGATGATGTCGTATATCAGTTCCTATGCTTTAGGCTCTTGTGTGCCAACCCACAAATGTTATGGTTCTACTTGTTTTGATTAGGTTGAATGTAGAACCAAAACATTTGTGGATTGGCACACTAGAGACAAGGGTATATGAAATATTAGACTTGGTATTATTAATATAAGCAGGATAGATGCGGTGGATAGAAGAGCTATTGGACAAGTAATAGACGCACTTGATCATAGATGTGGTCCATTAAGCACGTCTATTGTTAGCCAAATAGCTCTTGCCGCCAGTGCATCTATCCTGTTTCTATCCATAATAACATTTCTATGACTTCTTATGCCCTTGTCTCTTGTGTGCCAACCCACAAATGATTTCGGTCTACATTGAACATAATCAAAACAAGTAGAACCACGACGTTTGTGGGTTGGCACACAAGAGACTAGGACATAGGAAATCATAGATTTGACATTATGGCTAAAAGCACAATAGATGCGGCGAAGACCAGAGCTAGTTAGTTAACAGTAGACGTGTTTGATCATAGACGTGGTCCATGAAGCAAAGGCTTTACCATGAGAATTACTCAGGGGCTTTAGCCTAAAGTTATTCTCCCAGAAGCAGTGTGGAGAATAATGCCTCGAGAAGCACGGATAGGGTGGAAGGGGTCGATTAAAATACTCGAACCAGGGGGATAGCAGACGGATCCTACGAAGTTCCATCTCATCAGAAGACGACGACATATTCCTTATGACGAGCTGTTGATTGACTTTATTGGGACATTCATACTGAAGCTTTTTACAGAGTTATCTACTTTAATTCTGGTGAAAGCATGCTACGCTTTATTCCGTCGTATGACGGACATCATTAGAGGAACGTATCATCTTTACAACCATATTCAAGCTAATAATGTTGTATAGCCCACCAAAATACAACACAAGTGATGCAAGAATGGCCATCCGTATTTAAAGTAGAAATATGATGTGGGAAATAAGCTTTACTTTTGTAATCTAGTTATCATAATGAGCTCACATTGCGCTGAATCCAGCTGACTTCGTCTAAGAAATAAACAGTCGCACGGGGCAGCTGACAATTAAGGAGATTAGCTATATCGAGGAGACGAACGAGTAAGTTAAAAAGTTCTGCAGGATAGACAAGGCCAAAGTCACTCTGTGAAAGATTCGTAGAGTCGAGCTAAGAATATTGTAAAAAAGAAGAGATAGAAAGTATTTGTTAAAATTAATAATCGGT